GAGAAAAAACGGATTAAATATGAAAAAAAAACAGTTTAAATATGCTGTGTAATATGAGAAAAAACGGTTTAAATATGCTGTGCAATATGAGAAGAAAAAACGATTTAAATATGCTGTGTAATATGAGAAGAAAAAACAGTTTAAATACGCTGTGTAATATGAGAAAAAAAACGGTTTAAATATGCTGTGCAATATGAGAAGAAAAAACAGTTTAAATATGCTGTGTAATATGAGAAGAAAAAACAGTTTAAATACGCTGTGTAATATGAGAAAAAAAAACGGTTTAAATATGCAGTGTAATATGAGAAAAAAAACGGTTTAAATATGCTGTGTAATATGAGAAGAAAAAACAGTTTAAATATGCTGTGTAATATGAGAAAAAAAACGGTTTAAATATGCAGTGTAATATGAGAAAAAAAACGGTTTAAATATGCTGTGTAATATGAGATAAAAACGGTTTAAATATGCTGTATAATACAGTTTTGAAACATCCTCTATGATCAATATTTTATGAAAAAACGTATCATTCCCCAAGGTGCCTCTCAAGTTTGTTTTTGAATTTCGTGCAAAGTTACACGAAGGCTATCTGCGCTAGCCGTCTCTAATTTAGCAGTGTAAGACTAGAGGGAAATAGATCCCCATAGAACTTTCAAGTATTGATCCCCATAGGATAAGTAGTTTTCTTTATAAGATGCCCCCCAGTAGCACAGCGGTATGTCTGCGGACTTACAACGCTAGAATCCGGGTTTCGATAGCTCATTGAGTAGCTTTGTGCTTAATTACAAACAAACTTTATAAGAACTACTTTTTAATCACTTGTATTTATAAATTGATATTTATCATTGATTAATTATGTTTTCACTAATGCATGTATTTATTTTTTAAACGTTTGTTTGTTTGTAGTTAAGCACAGAGCTACACAGTGGTCTATCTGTGCTGTGCTCACCACGGGTATCGAACCCAGTTTTTAATGTCGTAAATCTGCAGACTGAGCTATTGGGAGGCTTTTTTAAAATCTACATTCTCGAATAAACATAATATTATTTGTAACCATGGAAATAATACGCTATTTATCCGACAAACTTGCAAGTTTTAAGTTATACTGATTGCTTTTTTTAATAAGTTAGCTTAATTTCTTTAACTAAAGTTTTTTGATTCTCCTCTGTTGTGTTTTGTTTATTGTTTGTCATTAAGCACAAAGCTACACAATGGGCTATCTCTGCTCTGCCCACCACGGGTATCGAAACCCGGATTATAGCGTTGTAAGTCCGCAGACATACCGCTGTGCCACTGTTGTGAACCTATTTAATGGCGTTTGACTATTGTGTTTTCAACTGCAACAGTGCTTGAATCAACAGCAATGAATCAACTGTTTTCCTATTTACCTCGAACCTAGAAGTGATACAACATGAAATAGATACTGAGTGAACGCCTAATGAGAAAGAAGAGAAACAGTTTTACTGATAACTTGCCCAACTAATTCTCACGACTGATGAATGAGTCTTTTGTAGAAAGTTTCGTCACAGAAAAATACAAAATAAACAAATAAAAATGTTGAGTTGGAAGTTTGTAGTTGTCTTTGTAACTGTACAAAGTCTGAGCTGAGTAAGCCACTGAAAACTCGAACGAAATCGTGGAACTTCAACATGATACTTTTCTCCCGCAGTTTACTCTCGTTACCCGTGTAACTGGGTCTGGCCAGGCGTGCACAGCCTAAGGCAATAAACATCTGGGTCTCTAGTGTACGAATTACTTTTTCTTGTCCCACGCCAACAGACTGCTTTGTGTATGTGTGTGTGAAAGAGAGTGAGTGCTAAGATCAAAGCTGACGACCTCGTCATACGGCCCGAATCAACAAGGGTCTGGTCTAGCATTCTGATCACATATTATTTCACATAACGTACAGTTAGAAACTTTTTCAGTATGGAGACCAAAAGTTCTGAAGGTTTACTAGGTTCATCAGTAACACGTAATTTCAGCCAAGTTAACAACATGAATCAAGATGCAGCGTTGTTAGGTTTAGGGTTAGGAATGGGCCTTTTGTCTGTTTTGGTGATCCTCTTTGTTATCAGGCGTGTTCGCCAACAAAAACGTCTAGGTAAGTCTTTTTTTTTTGTAGAAATATATTATTGTATATGTGTTTTGTAGCTTGAAAAATGACAGATGTGGTTTAAACATCGTAATAATTAAAGAAATTGAATGATTTAACCAGATATTACTTGTTCAAGGTCCTGTACCGTATATGTTACACTTTTCTACAGTATGAACGCCAATCTTAGCAGTTTGTACTAGGTAGTGCTTTCAGAATTCTCAAGGTTATTATTGCTTTAGGGTTTCCACGGGGTTTTGAAACTGTACCTTGGGAAGGTTTGGATAATTGTTTAAATATTCCAACTATGACGGAGTTTTAATCAGTTTTGATACTGTACCTGAGGAAGGTTTGGATAATTGTTTAAATGTTCCAACCATGACGGAGTTTTAATCAGTTTTACACTGTACCTTGGGAAGGTTTGGATGATTGTTTAAATGTTCCAACCATGACGGAGTTTTAATCAGTTTTGACACTGTACCTGAGGAACGTTTGGATGATTGTTTAAATGTTCCAACCATGACGGAGTTTTAAAAATGTATTGTGACAGTTGTAATATAGTAGTGTTACTGTGTTGTGTTTTTATCATTGTGTTATATGTTTAATATTGATACTTTGTGTTAATTATGTTATATTGAGTTGTACTGATTAGTATACCTTTATGTTTTGTCTACATCTGTTAGGTTATCATTGTTAAGTGACCTTTATTTCTTTAATTAAACACTCTACGTTTCGCTTTACAGCTTCTTCAGGAGCGTTCCACTAAAACACAAACCGTAACTGACAGTACAAAACTTCAAATGGTTTAAATAATAAGTTTAATAATAAAATTAAAGAAACTTGTAGTGATATGGTCGTTTATTTCTAGTATTGAAATGTCTTCTATACAACAATATGCACTACAGAAATTAAACACTGACTTTACGTCTTGTTATTATATTGTTGTCATCTTTGTTCAGCGTTGTACAACCTACTATTGATTTGTGTGTGTGTGTAATACAGCCACCATCGTTAACAGCGAGGGTACTCAGCTGATGAAATAATATATTATTATCTTTATAAATAAGAATAGTATATGTACTGAGTTAAATACATAAAATTGCCCTGTTTTTTCATCCATAACGGGGAGTCGAGACGACCAACTCCCGGACGCGGGGTCGTCTGGCAAATCCGACTGAGAAACACTGATCTAATACATACATAGCTTGCTTTGATCGGAAGTTACTATGAATTAGCTCGTGTGTGTGTGTGTGTGTAAACAAGAAAGTCGAGTTTCTTCCGAACACACTTTTTGAGATGTTTTCTGCTAGGCAGCTTGTTTGTTAAATAATGTAGTTTCATAACAATGTTTCATCTCTGGGAAGTCTTTTTTTTCATAATTAAATTCTACTTTGTATAATGTCGTTTAAATTTATCTAATGTAAGTATGATTTATAATTATGTATATTTTTTTTATAATGGGATTTCCTTTGATAAGTAATTTGTTTGAAATCAAGAACTGAGAGATTGACTGTCACATTTATAATGCACCCAAAGCTTTGAGTGGGGGAATATTTTATGGTATCGTTTGTTTAAGGTATCGTTTGTTCGTGTAAGGCATAAAACAAAATCTTTGTCATTTTTGATCCCATGTAGTAAGTAGTATAAACATGGGGCTCCTGGGTGAGCTTGAAGACTTACAATTTTAAAAATTGGGTTCGATCCCTGCCGTGGGCACATCGAAGATAACCCATTGCCCAGCTCTGTGCTTAAAACCAATCAAACAAACAGCTCAGTTTTTGTACATACGGGTTTCCCTGGTGGGTCAGCGGTAAGTTTACAGACTTACAACGCTAACATCCGGGGTTCCATTCCCCGCGGTGGACAGAGCGCATATAGCTCATTTTGTTGCTTTCAGCTAAAAAAAATCCAACTTGTACATAGGTGTAGAAATGGCGTTAGTGTAATCGTTATTCTCTGTATGTCCAAACATATTTTCAGTTTATTTATACAATGTTAATAGGCCAACTTTCCATCATCTTTTCAACACATCGTCTGTAAACAATTCATCCCAAGTTCATTTCTTTATTAGAGTAACTGTCGTTATCTCGGGTTTCAGCAACCAATCACACGGTGGCGAGACTGAAATGGTTTTGTTTGTTTGTTGTTAAGCGCAAAGCTGCACTATGGGCTATCTGTGTTCTGCCCACCACGGATATCGAAATCCGGTTTTAAGCGTTATAAGCCTTCAGACTTACTGCTGAGGCCTGGCATGGCCAGGTGGTTAAGGCGCTCGACTCGTAATCTGAGGGTCGCGGGTTCGAATCCCCGTCACACCAAACATGCTCGCCCTTTCAGTCGTGGGGGCGTTATAATGTGACGGTCAATCCCACTATTCGTTGGTAAAAGAGTAGCCCGAGAGTTGGCGGTGGGTGGTGATGACTAGCTGCCTTCCCTCTAGTCTTACACTGCTAAATTAGGGACGGTTAGCGCAGATAGCCCTCGTGTTGCTTTGCGCGAAATTCAAAAACAAACAAACAAACTTACCGCTGAGCCGCTGGTAAATATATGAAACAAAAATATTGAACTTACTTGTTACTAGACGCACTTTTCTACACAAGTATTAATTTGTTCTTGTTAGCATGATGTTTTATAATACAACCTCTGTTATGTTTTCTTTGTTACTGATCACGAGCTAATTTGTTGCATTTATCAGATATAGTTTAGTTAATATTGTTAGTACAATGATTTCTACTGTAATTAATATTGTTGCACAACACTTGCTAACTTTGTTGCATGTATTCGGCTGTAAGTGTGTTGTGTCGTCCTTTGCAAGCTAACAGTGATAATTAAAGTGAAAAATTATGATTTTATTGGCCACGAGATGGAGCTGCAAAATGATAAACTTTTATTCTCTGTATTGGAATACATATATTTTACAAAATTTGTCTTTACTGTATGTGTAATTTCTTTTAAAGTAAATTCTAATACATTACTTATACTTTTATTTCTCTTTTTCTTTCTTCAGCGATGAAGTATCGAGCCTCATCTCGAGACAGCTTAGACCCTACTGAATATATGAAAATGCTGGCCTCGATTGATGGGAAGATAGGCATGATGAAGATTTTTGAAAAACGACATCAGATTCCGGAAATTGCGTGTAACGACCTAGGCTACATAGATGAAGTGTTTGTGGACATTAGAGAACTGGCTAATGAGAAACAAAAATTAGAATCTAGTGAAAATGAACAAACAAAAAACTAGAATATAGTGTAAATGATCAAACAAAAACTAGAATCTGGTGAAAATGATCAAACAAAAACTAGAATATAGTGTAAATGATCAAACAAAAACTAGAATCTGGTGAAAATGATCAAACAAAAACTAGAATATAGTGTAAATGATCAAACAAAAACTAGAATATAGTGTAAATGATCAAACAAAAACTAGAATACTGGTGTAAATGATCAAACAAAAACTAGAATCTGGTGTAAATGATCAAACAAAAACTAGAATCTGGTGAAAATGATCAAACAAAAACTAGAATATAGTGAAAATGATCAAACAAAATCCGTGATTAAAAAATCTTTTAATCCGTGAGGTCGTTATAATGTGATTGTCAATCCCACTATTCGTTGGCAAAGAGTTGGCGGTGGGTGGTGTTGATTAACTACTTTTTCTCTAGTTTATCGTTTCAAAATTTGGGACAGCTAGCGTAGATAGTCCTCGAGTAGCTTTGCTTGAAATTTTAACAAACAAACAAAGATTAAATAAAGAGCCTTACATCCAAAGGAAATCTTAACAAACAAACAACAGATAAAATAAAAGAGCCTTACATCCAAAGGAAATCTTAACAAACAAACAACAGATAAAATAAAAGAGCCTTACATCCAAAGGAAATCTTAACAAATAAATAATAGATAAAATAAAAGACCCTTACACCCAAATGCAATTTTAACAAACAAACAACAGAAAAAATAAAAGAGCCTTACATCCAAAGGAAATCTTAACAAATAAATAATAGATAAAATAAAAGACCCTTACACCCAAAGGATCTCCGTGAAAACATAAATATTCTTGTGAAACCGATATTAAAGTTTATCAGCACGTGCTCTACCCGTTTTTTATTTATTTTATCTTCACAAGATATCCAAAAATAACAAAGTCTTCCATTTTTACCTTTGAGCTTTCCAATTACATATTTAGATAATCTTACACGACAACAGATAACTTCATCAAGGAAAATAGTTTTGAGGGGTTCCTATGTAAACGATCTTAATTTCGTAAGTCTGGACTGTATTTTTTCCAAGACTTACTTGTGACTACAACCTTGAATTGTTTCATTTTCATTACAATTGTTCGGTAACAACAATATTGCTCGTACTGTAAAATTATTTTGATAGAACAGTAGTGATCATATTATAAAAATGACAGAATAAAAACCAACAATGTTGACTTGCAGTTCAATCTTTCACGATAATCCTTTTATTGTTGTTGTTGTTGTTATACGGTGTTGGTCATTTTGTAAAGTCAACAATGCTGATAGATAACTTTAGTTTTAGCTTTCGGGATAATCTTAATTTAATAATTATAAAAAAAATAGATTTAATAAGATTACGTGTGTTTTAAATTACCTTTTTTCTTATATACGTTTGACTGCCGTGCGGAATTCACGTGCTTCACGGATAAATTATTTTTCGATATGTGTGTGTGTGCGCGCGCGAGTTTTAATTGTACTCTTTGAATTTTGAGTTTTCATGTTTCTAGAAAATACTTCAATAAAAAAAAAGTTCGAAAATTGGACTATCTTTTACACACGTTTTGTATTGTACTTATTATTTCTCTAATAAACAATTTTTGCATTTTTTCTGTAATCTGTCTTATATTTTCACTTTATCTGAGAAACATCAATCTCAAACTTTGGTATAGGGTGAATGTTTATAGGAGATTAATAAGTCATTAATAAATATATGATTGTAAACTATAGCGAGGTGAGAATATCCAAGTCTCTCTATTATCAGATAAATAACACTATCCAATTCATCATTAAGAAATCCTGTCTTTTCGACTGTCAGGATGAAGTTTCGATTTTATAAACGAGCTGTAAAAAATTCATGAACTTAGCACGTGTAAAAACAAGTAATCACGTTACATTTCGCACAATTTACAATAATTATGATGTCTGATATAGTAAATGAGGAAACTGTTCGTATAAAAGTTATACCGAACAG